TTAGGGTCTTTCACAGCAAAGTAGAAAAATAATTCCAATTTAGGTCTGGTCTTAAACCTCAAGAATTCCTTTTTTTGCCTGGCTATATTTATTACTTTCATAAATAAAAACATCTATTCCTTATCTTCTGACAAGCAGATAACTGACAGAGTAAGTCCAGGTACATCACATTCAGGCTGCGTACATCCTAATTTTATAGCTTCTGTCCATAAGCTCTCAATTGGGGGCTTCTCTCTAAGATGTCAGTTCACTTTAAGATGCAGAATCAAGAATCTATGATATTACCGAATAATTATATAATCTACTATCAAATCTATTTTGATTTAACATCACTTCTTTGTCTTGCTATTTTAAAAATAGTGCTGCATACTTAACTTTTGAATTAATTTAACTTTTAATTAGCAACCGTTTCAGAAATAATTTTATGAATTTTTTAAAATATCATACATTGTTCAGTGTTTGACTATTGGAGATAAAACATCTGACCACCTTCAGTAAAGGAAAATATAAGCAATAATTAATATATATTCCAAGTATTTATACTATGTCTAAATATTATAAAATCACTGTTAAGGTGAAGAGATATAAGCAATATGATGAAGAATATTTGTGTAAATTATCAAATTTATATGTAAGATTGTTATTTCTTGCTATTATCTCCATTTGTTTCCAATGAAAATTACATCCAAAAGCAGAGTTATTAAATAGATGGTAGTTATCCCTCCTTTAGCCAACAAATGGCTCTCAGATATTTATCTAAAGCTTTATGTGAAGCAAATAAAACAAAAATAGAACTAGAAATTTTCTTATGTCCTAGGTAATCCTGTTAAGATTAAATGGGGTTGAAGAACAGGAAGAAATACTTTTAAAATTACTTTGACTACAGTGTAAAATGAGCACTAATCCTTTTTAAAAATGTATTGAGTATAAGGTCTGCAGGGTCTCACTACATAGATTGGACTCATAGTGATCCTCCTATTTTCAGCCTCCCAAGCACTGGGATTACAGCTGTGCACCCCCATACCCAGTCTCAATCACCATCTCAGAATGCCCCGGGGGCAGGTCTAATCCATTTTTGAAAAAAGAGAAATAAATAAAACTTTGCACATATTGCAACCTCATGTGGATTCTGTTCTTGGAATCCATGTCATAAAGTCATGTCAGCAAAGAGGGAAAAAGACTTCACTCAGCAGTTTTGGCAAGTTGACAAGATCACCCAAAAGGAATCTGAAGTTTTGTTATTGGCTGTTATGGGTCCTTGCATTTAGTAAAAGTGTAAAGTAAAACAAATTCATAGGCAAAAGGCTTTAATTAGTCTCAAACTTTTTTTTAATGCAGTACTAGAGATCAACTCAGGACCTTGTACTTCCCAGGCAGGTGCTTTTGCTGTTAAGTTATATCCCGAAAAGGCTTTAATTAGGAAATTGGAGGGAAGATTGGAAAGGGCTCAGGTTAGGTAGCTGGAAGGGTACCCTCTAAGCCTGCCCCTGCAAGAGGGCAGTGAATGGGGATTCCTTGGTGTTGACTGGTTCTCAGTTGTGGGACTTGTATACCTGATGGATGGTTGCATCCTCAGGAAAAGATAGGCTTTGTCCTGCTGGTTTCCTGTGGGGCTCTGGCTAGAATTTATGGGTGTAGCTGATGTCCTTGTAAACCACTTAGCTCGGTGCCCTGTCCTGAAGAGGGGTGAACCCCTAGAAATTCAGAGTTCCCCCAACCTGTCTGGCCAGATCTAAGACAGATACTCCCTAAGTGACAAGCGACCCCCATCAGAGCCATCTGTTTCTCAGCTAGAAAAATTCATATTTTATTTATCATTGCATCTCATAGATACTAAAATTATCAACAAATAAGTTGTAAAAAACATACAATGTTTTAACTGTAAAAAATTCTGATACAGAAGCATATTTGGGGAACACTATGACAAATTTTAAATATTGAATTGTATTCTACAGAGGAAAAGTCTAGTAATGTTTTTTGTCTTAATTTAAAAACATGCATTACTTGGCAAGTGGCACAAGCTAAATTATTCAACCAAATTTCTTAGGAGTTGACAGTAACATTGCTCCGTGATGTGCATCAGTAAAGGCCACGATTTCTGAATTAGCAATTTGAAAAGTCAATCTTTGTTGCTGAGTATCAGATCTCGTTCATACTTTGTTCTTCTCATGTAGATACTTATTTTCCTATACGCAGCTCGAAAAAATAAATCACTATAGAAAATTATCTCCACTGTGGAAAAGTGAGATTCTCAGTTACAGTAACTTGCCAATGGCTCAGTCAGCATAGTGCATTTGGGTTCACCTCTAGGCTTCCTGGCACAAAAGCCTGAGGTCATTTTGTCACTGTGTATCACTCCATAGGAAAAGTGTCCGGTTAGTCCACAAG